CCCAAGAAACGCGGCCAGGGGCGGGGCCGGGCGGCGCGCAGGTCCGGTCTGCGCGGCGGCGTGGCGCTGCGCGGCGAAGATGGCGGCCTCCAGCTGGGCGCGCACGGCTGTAGTCCTGCTTTTTGCCTCTGACATCCTGCTGCTGGTTCTGCTGCCGCCGGCTGGGGACTGCGCGACCGACGGCCCGGCCGGAACGCCCGGCGAGGCTACCCCACCTCCCCGGAAGAAGAAGAAGGATATTCGCGACTACAATGATGCGGACATGGCGCGTCTTCTGGAACAGTGGGAGGTCCGCGGCGCGCGCACACCCTCCCCGCTCTTCCCTGTCCAGGGCCCCGTTTCCACTGACCCCTTGCCTGCGCTGCGCTCTTCTGACCCCTGTCTCGGTGTCTCCCGACTCTCTTAACTTCTCTCTGCTCCTGCCACGAGTCCTTACCCACTCAGGCCACCTCCGACCCTCCTCTGACTCCGTCACGCCCTGCGGACCCCCGCCCCAGGCCTCTCATCCCCGTGGCCTCTTCCACCTGCCTCCGTTTCTCGGGCCACTCCAATGGCGAGTCAGCCCGCCATTATTCAGCTTTACTTTCCCTTCCGTGCCTTGGTCGCTTCTGCGTCGACCCCCCTGGTCAGTGAGACCTGCGAGTGAGGAGAAAGACATTTCCCACTCTACTGCTGAAGAGCTTTTCCTTCATCCTCCCTTCGTGAGTGGTTGGGTGGGTGAGGGGGTTGCGGTGATGATTATCTTTCCACGGTGTTATCTATCTGATAATTCTCTTGTCTTCTAAATCAGTGGGATTTCAGACTTCCCGTTTAGATATATGTCCCTGCTGGGAATTTTGTAATTTTGTAGTTTTGTGGGCGGACTTATTTTATTGGGGGTTAGCGGGTAGAATAGTAAAGGCTAGTGGCTCTCTGTCATGGAACTCATAGTTTTCGTTTAAAGGAGCAGTGACTTGTTTTTGTGAAAGTAAGTTTTCTGATTTATTGCGTGGATGCACCGGAATGTGCAGTTACAGGGAGTGTGTAATAAGCTTTTAAGGTAAAATTCACTGACCAAAAACACGCTACTGCCTTTTTCCCTTCCAAAGGTGGTTGTACTGGTCCTGGTTGATTTGCACAGCTGGTATAGTGGAGTCAGAATTTTGGTTGTACTCACTGTCTAACCTTGGGCAGGTTATATCTCCTTTGTGGGCCTGTTTCCTTATCAGCAAAACGAGGAGGTTTTACTGGATGATTCCTAAGATTCCTTCCAACACTGACATTTTGTTACTTTGTGATTATCTCTATGTGTTGTGGGGGAGGGGTGAAGACTTTCAGACAGAAGCTTGAAATGCCACCTGATGCATTTTGCTAGAAGAAAACAGACGTGTTTTCATGTTTATCTGCATGTGATGGAAAGAGTGGGATACATTTGAATGTGTGCTTACCACTAATGAAGAGGGAACCTCTTCATTCCATATCTCCCTTGCAGTCTCCCTATCTCTTTTTGGACTGTAGTAAATAAGGCGTTTTGATCTGCCAAAGTGAGACCATCTCATGAGAAATCCTACCCTGGAAATACTCAGACCCTGAGTTATATGAAGAGGGTGCTGCAGAGAGGAACAAGGGATCCATCAGAAACAGTAGGCAACAGTAAAAATAACCATAATACAAAGAAATTGATAAGTGCTATAAAGAGAGAAAGTGCTGTGGGAATCTCAAAGGGCTTCAGGGAGGAAATGGCATTTTCAATAGGCCAAGGAAAATGTGGGGGCAGTGGCATTTTAGACAGGCTGAGGAAATGAGGGAGAAACACATGTCTAACAGAACAACTTGAACTGGGGATGAGACAGATGGGACTTGGGCAGAGTAGTGAAGATTAACAGCCTTGTCTCTGGCATTAGACTTCGAAGCACTTAAACTTGTGAATTTGGAGTGGTAAAGAATCTCTCTGTGCCTCAGTTTCCTCATCTGCAAAATAGAGGTGTTAGTATTACCCACATCAAAGTAGTTACAAGGATTAATTGAGAAAACATGGAAAGAACCTAGAATGGTGCAACTCAATAACCATTAGCTATGTTAAATAATTTAGGTTAGCTGGAACAGACTATATATGTTGAAACAAAGTGGTGGGAGTTAATGATGGGAAGGTTGGTGGGAACCAGGCCATGTGAGACCTTCATTGCTCCAAGGTTTGCACCTTATTTAGAAGAAAATATGCAGGTGTGATGAGTATGAAAAGTTGTATTACCCAAATAGTACAGTACTGGAATGTTTATATTTAAACATCCATAACCTTATCCCAAAACATGTTCACTTTTTCAAGGGCCCTACCATGTGCAGACATAATTTTTATAGCTGAAGTCATAGCATTGGTGGTACTTTTTTCTCTTCATTTTTCATTTGATACCTCTTAAGCATTTCCCCAGGTTACTGCATTGTATTCACACTTGAACTTTTATTTTTTTAAATTTTTTTAAAGATGACCGGTAAGAGGATCTTAACCCTTGACCTTGTGTTGTCAGCAGCAGGCTCAGCCAGTGAGCTAACCGGCCATCCCTATATAGGATCCGAACCCGTGGCCTTGGTGTTATCAGCACCGCACTCTCCCAAGTGAGCCATAGGCTGGCCCCACACACTTGAACTTTTAAATGGCTTTGGAATACTCTCTGGAGTGCAGCTCTTGAAAGTTTCTGAATAGGCTCAGCCAGTGAGCTAACCGGCCATCCCTATATAGGATCCGAACCCGTGGCCTTGGTGTTATCAGCACCGCACTCTCCCAAGTGAGCCATAGGCTGGCCCCACACACTTGAACTTTTAAATGGCTTTGGAATATTCTCTGGAGTGCAGCTCTTGAAAGTTTCTGAATAGGGGAATGTCATGATCAGGGCTAAACTTTAGGAAAGTTAATTGGTCAGCAAAATTTAGGATGGATGTACAGGGAGAGAATCTGAAGGACCAAACAAGCATATTATCTCATTTAATTTTATCTCTTACTGTATCAGTGAGGGAGGCACTTATCCCTGTTTTCTAGATGATGACATTGAGGCATAGAGAGGTTAAGTAACTTGCCCAAGGCCACAGAGCAAGCTAGCTGAGTTTCAAATGCTGTCACTTGACTTTAGAGCCCTTTCTTTTAACCATGTCACTGTACCACCGTACACATTGGCAGTGTACATAAATAATGAGGGGCTGGCCTGTTAGCTCAGTTGGTTAAAGCATGGTGTTATAACACCAATGTCAAGAGTTCAGATCCCCATACTGGCCAGCCACCAAAAAATAAAGATAATGAGGAGGACCTGGATTAAGCTAGAAGCTACAGGTGTGGAATGGAAGGGAGAAATGTGAGAGATTATATGCTCTTAACAGGACTTGATAGTTGGTTCAATGTGTGAACAGGAAGGTGACAGCATAATATAGTAAAAGGACAGAGTTTTTTTTTTTTTTTAAAGATGACCGGTAAGGGGATCTTAACCCTTGACTTGGTGAAGATGAGAATTCCTTCTATTGTGTTTGAACTAATGCTGAGTTCCAACTGGTGTAGAACAACCAAAGGTGATATTGCATTTTAAGTATGGTAACCAGGCGTAATGGGAATCGGTAGGTTGGAGGGATTTGGAGCCAGAAATGTGGGTTTGCACTTCAGTGTTACCTCTGATAGCATGTGAGTAAATTGAACAAATTATTTATCTTCTCTGAGCCTCATCCTCCTCATATGTTAAATGGAGACCTTGTAGGATTGTTTTGATGTTTGGAGATAATACATGTAACATGCCTGGTACATAGTAGCAACTCAGTAGGTAGCAGTTACTATCAAGGACCGTAGGAGGAAGAGAAGGATTTGTAGAAAAGGGGAGCTCAGCTTTGTAGCTATTGACTTTGAGAAACAGTCATGGAGAAGTGGTGAAGGCAGTTGTAAATATTGGACGGGGCTGGAGGCGGGGCTGAGACTGTGATCACTGGAGTGCCTGATTTAGCTACTCCGGTGCAAGCCCTGCCTGCGGGTAAGGATGGGCTTGTTTGTAGAATAAAGAACACAGTGGGACAGTTGGTGCATACTAGAGTGGAACTGGGCAATTACGTACATCTAGGGTACTGTTTTTTCTTTCTTTTTTTCTGTAACTGAAACACACATAAAAACATATAAAATGGAAATTAAGGTTTCTTGAAACAATCCTTACCCATACTGTATGCGCTACATTTAGGATTATTTAGTTACATTTTCATGCTGCTTGTGACTTGCTAAGTTAATTTCATGGTCATTAGTGAAATCAGTTTGAAAAATACAAATATTTTAGGGTATTGAACCAACTGGAAGTCTCCGAATGTTTTAAGGAGACCATAACAGATGTTATGGAGAAGTAGGATAGAATGAAGACAAAAACAGCCTGTAAATTGGGCAAGTAGGAGCTCCTTTGTGACTTTGAGAGTGCAATTGCCATAGGATGATTGTGGTTGGAGGTGGGATTACGGGGGCTTGAGGAGGGAGCAGTGTAATAGCTTGCGTGTACTCAATACTGCTGCCTTTGTCATAAAATAAATCCTCCAGCCCAAGCAGAACTTACATGAGCTAGGTAATTTGTCCAGGGCCACACAGCTTGTGGTGGCACCCAACCGAGATCCATCTGACTGCATAGCCCATGCTCCTGTCTGCAGGTCACCTTGAACAGAGCTTTCAACGCAAATTAAGGAAGAAACAGGTCAGTTGAGAGGGTGGCAGAGTTGATAAGGTTGGTGTGTTATGTGTAGTCATGTTGCTGGGGCTTGGAGATCACTTGAGTTCTGCGTTTCATTTTGTTGATGAGGAAACAGGCCTAGAGGAGTAAGGAATCTTATCCAAGGTCACAAAACTGTTACGTAGAGCTGAAACAAGATCCCAGGTCTTATATAAATATGGATTGCTCTCCAGCATTGCTTTAAAATTCTTCTGTGCTCACTTTTTACTAAAAATACTTTTAGTACAGTACATTATTGTTGGTGTCTTAAGCCTTGGCCCTTTAGGGATTTGTCAAGAGGGTCAAATAATAATGACATACAGACTTTTTGTTTCATTTTAGGTTTTTGGGGGGGTAACAGCTTTATCAAGATATAATTCACATGCCATATACAGTTTACATTTAAAGTATACATTTCGGTGGTTTTTAGTATATTCAAAGAGTTGTACAACTATCACCACAATCAATTTTAGAATATTTTTGCCACCCCAGAAAGAAATCCTCAATCACTTACCCCCCATTTTCTCCTAATCCTCCAGCCCTAGGCAACCACTAATCTACTTTCTGTCTCAATAGATTTGTCTGTTGTGGACATTTGCTATAAATGGAATTGTAGAATGTGTAGTCCTTTGTGTCTGGCTTCTTTTATATATGTTTTCAAGGTTCATCCATGTTGTAGCATGTATCAATCAGTACTTCATGACTTTTATTTTGTTGCTGGGATTAGCCGTTTCTCCCAGGGTCCTGGTTCCTAGTTCCAGACCTGGTTCTTTTAAATATTTACCTCTCTGTCAATCTGTATTCTATTCATTAAGTGGTATTCTACTGTTAGTAATTTATTTATTTGTTTATATCAGTACGGACTCAATTTATCTTACTTGGGGTGTTACAAGTCATTATTACTGTTTATTTTGATCAAATTATTCCAGATTTGGCCCATGAGAGCTGCTTCAAGTTGGCTTCTTTGTCATTTTGACATGTTATGTGATTAAAGTATTCTAGGCTTATCTTCTGTTTCCTTGCTGTAATTAATCTTTTCTCCGAGGAACCCTAGTTATTTTAAATGTTTTTATTCATCCATCTCTTTACCTATCTATTTATCTATTAAAAATCACAAGTTTCTTCTGATGCCTCCAATTCCAGTGTCATCCATTACACAGGGTACATTCTTCTCCCTTCTGTATTTGTGACTTCCTTTCCGAAAATGAGAAACCTGGCTGTCGTTATCCTTAACGTGTTTATTACTTTGCTCAAGCCTAGAGTTTACAGAAGGTAGTTTCAGAATCGCTAGCTCATACCACTGCAAAAAGCAAACCTACTAACTAGGATTGAATATTTGTGTACAGTTCTTATTATTTAGGTGAAATGGATATATGTGAAATGCAGATTTTAAGTATAAAGTGCAATGAGTTTTGACAAGTGGATATATCTGTGTCATCCACACCATTGTCAAAATATAGAATATTTCCATCACCCCAGAAAGTTCTCGTGTCCCTTCACAGTCAATCCCACCTCATACCCTGCTCCTAGAGGCAACCACTATTCTCATTTCTGTCACCCTACATTAGTTTTGCTTATTCTTGAACCTTAAATAAATGGAATTGTATAGTATATTTTATTTTGTGCCTGGTGTTTGTCACTCTATATTTTTGAGATCTGTGCTTGTTTTTTATTGCTGTGTAGTATTTCATTGTATGACCATACCATAATGTGGCCATTTTCCAATCTACCATATTGGGTGGATTCTTGGAGAGTGTAAAACCTATAGAAACCCATCACATGGGGCACTCTGTGATTGGTAACCTGAGGTGATGGGTAGGAAGTACTGCCTGAAACTTAGACTTTATTTTGAAGTCAAGTAGAGAAAAGCCCCCGGGTTTTTCTTTTTCTGTTATAATTTGTGTCATAAGCCTGCACCTGATATCATATGCAGACATTTTTGCCTGTAGCAGTTGAAAAGCGAATTTCTGATGATGGGTTAATGCTTTTTCCTCCCATCCTGATAGAAAGATGATGACATAGAAGAAGGAGATCTGCCAGAGCACAAGAGACCCCCAGCACCTGTTGACTTCTCACAGATAGACCCGGGCAAGCCTGAAAGCATATTGAAAATGACGAAAAAAGGGAAGACTCTCATGATGTTTGTCACTGTATCAGGAAACCCCACTGAGAAAGAGACGGAGGAAATCACAAGCCTGTGGCAGGGCAGTCTTTTCAATGCCAACTATGACGTCCAGAGGTAAAGTACCAACAACCTGCTGAGAAATCGTAGGCTGTGCTGGGAATTTTTTTTTAAGCTATAGCAGGGTGTCCTTGGTGGCAGTACTTCGCAAGGGCCCTGGGCCTTTCCTGTCTAGGATTTCTTCTTTTACATTTATTTATTAGGGTGGCTGGTTAGCTTAGTTGGTTAGAGCATGGTGTTAATAACACCAGGGTCAAGGGTTTGGATCCCCATACCAGCCAGCCAACTGTCCCCCCCCAAATTTTTTTAAATTTATTTACGTGAATTTTTTTTCTTTCTTTTTTTTTTTTTGTCTTTTTCCGTGTCCGGCAACGGATCGCAACCCTCAAATTTTTTTAAATTTATTTACGTGAATTTTTTTTCTTTCTTTTTTTTTTTTGTCTTTTTCCGTGTCCGGCAACGGATCGCAACCCTCTGTGTTGCCCCCGTACCGGACCGGGGACCAGCAACGGGATTGCAACCCTCGGTGTTGCTCCCGCGCCTCGCTCAGCCAGTGAGCGGGAACCGGTCTGTATGTGGGATCCGAACCCTCGGGCGGGAGCGCCGCCGCGCTTCCCAAGCGGCGCACTTATCCAGTGCGCCACCGGGCCGGCCCCTTTCTTTCTTTTTTTTAAAAAAGTATATTTCTTTCTTTAAAGAAGAGCATTCATTATTGTTCAAAGCTAGGAAGTTTGTTTTTTGAATATCTCATTTGATCTTAAAGTTTTATTTATCTTTGTATCTTTAGCTTTTATTTCATCTGAGTAAAAAGTTGTATAGCTTAGCCTCTCTGGGGGACAAATTAGTTACAGGCTGACAGTTTGCTTCCTTTAGAAGTTTCTGCTCAGTGGAGAATGCTTTTGTGTGTAGCTGTGTTCACACATAAAGCTTGGACCATACCATTAACAGGTAACTAGTTTAATGAAAGGGGCCTGGTTTTGATATTGTCCTGAGATGCAATTCTAAGGAATCTGCTCTCTCCCCCTCAACAACAGTTCTGAAATGTGGGGTCTTCAAACTTAATTTAGGAAATATGAAAGTAATAAAAAGAAGCAGAAGGACTACTTAGAGAATGTCTGGGCCAGCAGAATGCTTGTGTCAGCCTCTATAGACAGACACTTACAGAGTGTCTTGGCAGTGGCGGTCTGGAAGTACCACTGGTCTCTGGAGTGGTGGAAGCATTATAAACTGAAGGGTGGAGATGTGGTGGTGTCCCTCAGGAACGGAGTAATCGTGTCCACTGGCCATACTAGTGGTCCACTCAGACCCCATTCTGTTCCTCTTTTTTCCTTGGGGCATGTTGTATGTGGACAAGCGAGGCTGCTTGCTGTTAACCTCCAGGGTTAGGATTTCCATCTAGTAGCTGAATATCCTCTTAAGCTCTTCAGGGGCCTCTTATAATGACCTGCTCTAAGCCAGTGCTTTTTAGGCTTTGTTAGCAGAAGTCTTGTCAAACAAAACTTCAGCTGGACACTTCAGAATATAAGACGGATACAAATAGAAGCCTCCTTCTTGCCTCCCTGGCAGCAGCCCCTGAACACCTCTGCAGCATACTGAGGAGCTGTTCCTAATGCTCTCTTCAGCATCCGCTTACAACACAAAGGAACATCCAGTGTCTATTTCTGTTTTGATCTGAACTGGGTGTTTAACAGTTCAGTGAACTAGTTTTTTCAAATGTTAGATGTCAGTAGCTGCTAGGCCTTGCAAAATAACACTTTTTTTGTTCTGTATGCATGCATAATTTGCAGTGACCCATTTTTCTTAGCTAAGTACCACAGAATCACTCTGACCATTAGCACCTTCCTAGTGTATGTTAACTGTATGATTGCATCTCTCTGTCAAGGTTCATTGTGGGATCAGACCGTGCTATCTTCATGCTTCGTGATGGGAGCTACGCCTGGGAGATTAAGGACTTCTTGGTCAGTCAGGACAGGTGTGCTGATGTAACTCTGGAAGGACAGGTGTACCCTGGCAAAGGAGGAGGAAGCCAAGAGAAGAATAAAACAAAGCAAGAGAAGGTTAAAAAGAAGAAGGAAGGAGATCCGAAATCTCGGGCTTCTAAGGAGGACAATCGAGCTAGGAATAAAAGAGAAGACCTGTAATGGGGCAGCTGAGACTCTCTGTGGAGGAGCAGATAGGACATGGGGAGCTCCTTCGTGGAGTAGGGGCAGGCACAGAAAACTGCACACTGGATGACATTCTAGTTTCTTCTAGAAAGGGTCTGCCACATGACCAGTTCATTGTCAGTATAAGAACTGGTCATTATAAAAATTACTGCTTAAAAGTCTTCAAGTAAGAAGACAGAGGTTTTCTAGTTAATTATTGGACACTGACAAATTCATGTTTACTGTAAAATCACCTTACATGGAAACTTGACTGTGTTGCTTTTTCCCATTTAAGTTTGATGAGTCATTGGTTCTCCTGAGGTACCACTCCCTCTTCATTGCACCTGCTCTGATTGGGTGGCCTGCTGTGTCCGTGCTTGTCATTTTCTGTTAACTAAAAGGATAGCAGGTTCTAATCAGACAAGTTTTTAAAACTCTTGACTTAACAGAATCATAGCCTTCATGCTGCATACATTTTCATTGCTGTGAAGGTAAAACATGCTATGGGAGCCCTGAAGCAAGCTCTGATATCTAAATATATAACAGGAAGCCAGGATGTGGAAATCCAAAATCTGTGCAGGAAATGCAGAAAACAGAAAATAATGTTATTTGGAAATCCTGAGTATTTACTATTCTGAATTTCTTTGACTTGAATCCCACTCAGTTAAAAAGAACTCTCAATATCAGGTTTTATGTGATCTGTAAAGGTGTGTAAGTAGGGAATCAGCAGAATTCATTGCAGGGTGTGGCAGAAGACTCAACCTCATTTACTTCTAAACATTTTCCTTTGATAAAGTGCCTAAATTTGTGGTGTTTTTGTATGGTACTAACATGAAGCACTACTGTTAATGTCTGGTTTTCCTATTCATATGTTGGAGGCTACTCTGAATAAGAGTTACATTTGTATACAAGCGTCATTTTTTAAGAACTAAAATTCTTAAATTGAAAGAACCTCAATTGTGATTTTAAAAAATTAAAAATAGCACATGTACATGGTAGAAAATGTCAATGTTAAAGAATGGTACAAAGTGAAAAAAGTATATATATTCCTACCCAGCTGCCAGTACCTTGTCCCAGTGGAAGTAACTGTTAACAATTTGCTTTAAAAAAAAAAAAAAAAGTACATGTACCAGTTTATAGTGATGTGTGTTTGTTTTGGCCACTAGCATCTGTTTCCCCTTATTTTGGTAACCACTGAAATTTCCCTCTAATGAACCACACCCTCTGCCTTCTCAGTTCTGCTTTGGATGGATATTTGCCCTCAGCCTCCCAACTTCCAGGGAAACCTATCCCAGGTCGAGTTTGCTGGGGCTGCCTCAGGAGAGAGCGCTTCTTGTTTCTCATGTGAACTGAACCTGGGAGGATGTGAGGGTGGAGCTGCTGCAGACTCTTGCCCCTGGAGAGGAGAGCTGTGGCGGGGAGAGAGCGCCACACCCTGGTGGTGGTGGTGTCTTGTCCCTGAATCCAGCCACATCTGAAACAAGCCCTGTCCCTAGGTTTTTTCTGTTTTTACTTAGAGCAATTTGTTGGATTTCTGTCATGTGTAGACATAATGGTCCAGTATACAGCAATTGTCTTGATTAGATAACTTTTAATTAAACAAAAGGGAGCAGAGGCTTCACACTGCCCTGTACCTCATGTTTCCACTTAGAAGCCTTTTCCATATCAGCATGTACAGATCTAGCTCATGGCTTCCTTTGTAGTGTCCACCACTTCAGCCAGCATTTATTGAGCACCTCTTATGTACCAGGTACCAAAAGGTGCCAGGGAGTGTATATTTAGCCCCAGCTATTATGAAACTCGGTGATTTGGTGGGGGAAAGACAAATACTAGTGACATACAGAGTAAAATGGCACCTGTTGGAAGTATGAAAGAAGTACAGAGTATTAAGAGGCAGGGCAGGGGGTGGGCTGAATCTTAGAATGTTGGGATGGTCAGAGAGACCCCCCCCACCCGAATCCCGCCCTGTCTACCCCACAGGAGGAAGAAAGAAGCATGGAGTAATACAGGCAAAGGAAATTGTCCATGCAAAGGCCCTGTGGCTGGAAGTAGCAGAGGAGGGGCTGCAGGAAGGCCAGTGAGGAGGTTGGGGCACAGTGCAGAACGGGGCTCCAGAGGTAAGGGATGTATGGGGTCTTATAGCAATTCGGAAAGCCCTGAAGGATTTTAAGCTGCAGGGGGTTGACTATGAAAGACAATCCAATTTGCTCTGGCTGCTTGGAAGAATTGATTGGAAGGGGCACCACTGGGTGTGAGACATGAGTTGCAAGGGCATTTCAGGCCCAGATTAGCAGGGCGTTGGTGAGGTTTGAACCTGCACAGTCCCTACTGACGGACACTCAAGTTTTTAGTTTTTTCTAGTGTATTCAATGCTGCGATGGATGTTTTTGTCCAAATTATTTTGGTGAGCTTTTGTTTATATCTGAAGGGCAAATTCCTAGCAATGGAATTGTTAAAACAAACAAATTTAACATTTTGGTCTGTATTGCCAAATTGGTATTCCAAGTGGTTTTGTCAGCTTACCCTTGACAGCAGATCTTGTGTGCTTGCCAGCACTGGTCATTATATTTGCCAACTTAATAGATTTAAAAATCATATCAATTGGCTACCCTTAAGCCATTGTACTGGAGAGGCCATGGGCAGTTCATGGAGAGAGAGATCCTTAGGGAACCCCACCTGTACCTGTCCCAGCTAAGAATCTTCCCAGCCCAGGCACAGACATGTCAGTGAGTGAGATTTAAATGTTCCCAGCCCCAGCCTTCAAGCCACCCCAGTGGATTCTGAGGGGAGCAGAGATGAACTGTTCCTCAAAGCTTTGCCCAGGGCAGATTCACGAGCAGGAAGAATGTTATGTGTTTAATGATTTGTCTTCATTTCTTTTCATATTTGTTTTAATGTCTTGTAAACTAATAAATTTGGATGATTTCTTTTCATGATCGACTATGAAACATGAAAACTTGATTAGATCTACGCATCCTTCCATCTTCCTTCCTCAGGCCTTCTGGTTTTTGATGGTTATGTTGTAGTTTTTAGTTCTTCTGGTGGTTTCCTTTATAATATTAAGCCTTTTTTTCTCTTACATTAAACTGACTTAGTATGTATTAACCACTAGAAAGGGGAAAAGAATTTACAAACTTTTCCTGTGTCCCTGGTTATTGTTTAACAGTGTTATTTGTACACTGACATGATGTATAATGTCCACCTTCTTTTTTTTTTTTTTTTAAAGATGACTGGTAAGGGGATCCTAACCTTGACTTGGTGTTGTCAGCACCAGGAGGCTCAGCCACTGAGCGAACCAGCCATCCCTCTATGGGATCCGAACCTGGGGTCTTGGTGTTATCAGCACCACACTCACCCGAGTGAGCCACGGGCCGGCCCTAATGTCCACCTTCTGTAACCATTGTGTCAACCTTTATGCTTGAATGATAGTGCGGGATGACATTTCTGGGCCTTGCTTTTTTCCTCATACTTTATATACACTGCTCCATTGCAGAGGTCTGAGACCACCCTTATCTTTCCCCTTAGAAGTGACTGCTTTTTCTATCAGATTGCCTGGATTCTTCCTTATTCTTAACATTCAGTAATTTTGCTTAAAAAGTCTTAGTGTTGATTTTTCTGAATCTTTATTTTTTTTAAATCCTAGAACATGGTGTGTTATTTCCAATTGCAGATTCTGCTTTTTTGAAAATTTATTTTGGAAAAATTTATCTACTGTTATTAACTTAGTTTTAGCTTTGTGTTGTTATTTTGGGCACCAATATTTTTATTTTTTCCTTTTAATTTTTTAAAAATTTTATTACCATATTCATCATTACAAATCGTAATTATCCTTTATGCCCCTTATCCAATTTCTCCCCCTCCCCTCCTACTCCCCCCTCTAATAACCGTAGATTTGTTCTCTCCATCTGATAGATTAATTGTTCCTCTGTTGGTTTGTGGCCTAGATGATCTGTCTAGTAATGAGACAGGTATGATCAAGTCCTCCCTTATTATCGTAAAGCAGATGCTTCTTTTATTACTCTGGAGTGTGCTTTGTGGAGAGACGACCTCTTTTTTTTTTTTTGGTCTCCACTGGTGCTTCTCCTGTGTCAATGAAGTTGAGAGTCTGGAGTGCCATATGCATGGTGGCTATGACCTGCTATAGAGACTACCCGCTTTTGCAGCAGCCACGGCAATTGCAGTGGCAATGGAGGGCTATCCATGTGAAAATGGTGTTTTTGGTGTGCTCTTTACCTGGTTGCAGCTACATTTAGGTTCCCGGCCCAACTGCATACCTCAGGACCCTGGTGGGGCCCCAGGGTGGTGGCGGTAGCTTGCCTAGTTGCAGCTGGGTTTGGCTTCCCCAGGCTCCATGCCTCATTCTAAAATGTTGCGAAGCAGTTGGGAGAAGGAGAAAAGAAGAGGGGACAGAGATATAGGATGGGAAGAGGAGGAAAGAGGGGGAGTGTGATCCAGGCCTGTGGGCCCCCCCTTCATTTCAGGAGGCTTCCAGTGGTGACTGGGTTGTTGCTGGGCTGGGTACATATGTCACGGGGGTGTGGCTGAAGCCCTCAGCCCCGCGCTGCCTCAGCTTGGGATCCTTGGGTGCTTCATTTGGCAGCTTGGTTGTCACTGGGCTGGTTGTGGATGTTGGTGGTGCCATGGCCGAGGCCATCAGCCCCCCCACTGCCCCAGCTTGGGAGTCTGGGGCACTTCATTTGGCAGCTTGGTGGTCATCTTTGGGCTGGTTGCGGAAGTCAGGGGGCATGGCTGAGACCCTTGTCCCTCCTCCCTACCTGGCTTGGGATCCCAGGGGTCTTCTGTTCCTTCAAGATGTTATAGGTGTTCTTTGGTGGTGTTAGACCTTCACTAGTTAATATCAGACTTTGGTCTGTGGGTATTTTTTTCTTCTAGTTTTGTGTTGGATTATTTGCTGTTCCTA